ATTATACCTATGTTTCCTAGTTGTTTCCAACACTCCAAGGTACTTCCAAAAGTCAAGTAAAACTACAAGTCAAGTGAAGTTAGTTTCCAATTCAAGTGAAGTTAGTTTCCAAGTCAAGTGAAGTCAAGCTTAGAAGTAAGTAAGTCAAAGCAAGTCTTTAAGGTTTTCCAAGAGTCTTCATTGAGCGTTTTAACTTCATTCTAAGGCTCAAGTTCCAAGTTAAGTATTGAGTTTCAAGTCAAGTCAAAAGTTAAGAGTTTCATGTTAAGTTAAGAGTTTCACATCAAGCCAAGAGTTCAAGTAAAGTAAAGAGTTTAAAGTTGAGTTCTTTTCTCAAAGTTATTAGGGAACTATGTATTCCCAAAGAAGTTTTAAAGAAATGTTTTTACATTTAAACAAGGTTGGAAACTGAGATTTCCAAAAAGCCTTCGGGCTAGTTTTTGAGTAATTATCTCATATCAGCAGGAAGAAATATGTTTTAAAAACATAAGAGCCAGTACATTTTTGGGAGTAGTATCGAGCACCGAATTGGGGGAGCGTTCAAAGAACCCACAGCCCCCATAGAACCATGTTAGCCACCATGGGTAGAAAAGGATCATACTTTTTAGATGAATCCTTTTCAGATTAGACTAGTGGATCCATTAGGCAGTTCAGGTCTTATACCTTTGGCCGGGTATAAGATGCTCTGGCAGCGTGAGGTCGATCGCTGTATCATCACTATAGCTCTTATGTGATGGTTGTCGGTTAGAGAAACTCCCACAGCAGTTATTGTATTTTTCATACACAGAGATTATTGTATTTTTTATATACATCAGTTCATTGTATTTTTATACACATTTCAGGCTTATTGTATCCTTGTATACACACAGAGTTCATAGCATGTTTTAAGCAATCTTTCTTTATATCGCACTTGTTTTAAATTGCCTTATATTGAAAGAAGTCAGTCAGGTTGAGTTAAGTTGAGCCAGGTAAGCTATTCAGTTTCTTCCAGTTTTCCTTCTAGCCTTTGTTGCTTAGTTTTCCAGCTTGCATACTCGTACATTCCATGTACTGATGCCAGTTGGCCTGCATCGTTTGATGATGCAGATTCAGGTACCCCGGATCAGCATCCTGCACGTCGTTGATCCAGCTGAGCACTCCAGAGTCAGTGGTGAGCCTCCTTGCATTCCGGAGGACTCAATTATTTTGTGTTCTTAGTTTTTGTTTTATTAGGATGTTGCGGGGTCTGTCCCAACATCCATCTCAGTATTTTAGAGGCTTCATAGACAGACAGTCAGTCAGTTAGTTTTGAGTCTCTCATCTATATATATGTAAATATTCTATTTTGAGATTCGAGTTGCCTTTATGGCCATATTTTATAAGTTAAGTTGTTTTGTAATATTGCATTGCATTGAGTTATTCTGTTGAGGTTTCCGCTGAGTTAAGAAAGCCAGGCCAAGGGTTCGCTTGGGGCTAGAAATGGTCTCCGGGTGCCGGTCCCGCCCAGGGTGTAGGCTCGGGGCGTGACAGAATGTGACAATGTAGAGAGAGAATTAGTATAGCATTTTGTTTTGTATTCCTCCAGTTCAATGTTTGGTTTGATTAGTGGGTCTGAAGGTAGTTGCTGCGGATTTCCTTTTCTTCAGTAATGTTTCTACTTTCTAGTAACAACCTTATTTTGATTAGCGACGTTGTTTCTTTCCCCTCTTTTGAAATCTTGGTGTTTTGAGGAAGAATATGCTTCATAATTCACCACACATTAGCTATTGGCAATAACCTATCTTGCTCCTTAATTCCACCTTCTTCACTCGAGTCAAATGACCCTTATATTTTGTTGCTATCAACCATTTTGGAAACCTAAAAACTCGATCCTCTCAGACACAAACATGTTTTGCTTTTCATTTTGCGTATTATTTGCCTCTTTATAAGTATCAATTCGTCTGTTTTACGCTAACTTAGAATCAAGTATTGTTGATAATATAGCGTGATATTGCCAAAGATAGATTCTACTATATATTAAAGTATCCAGTACAAATTTAGGTCATTTTGTTATACAAATAAAAGTATTACTAGTATATATTAGACTTTATTGAATGCACTTTGCTTTAGTGAATTATATGGATCAAATGGTTCCCTCCCCTCTCCCTTGCTACTTGTAAATGTTTAATCGCCTTTCCACAAGCTTTAGCAACCACATGTCTTTAAACAATGCTTGAAATATTAAAATAAACTATATATAATGCACTTGTGCTTGTACCATAAAGCTGGCTTATTACCACAATATGAGTCTATGAAGTGCAAAATTGTCTTTTGCAAACATTATTAAAAATTTAACATTGTCAATGTATGAACTAAGGCTAAAGTTCATTAAAGAGCCTTTCCACGTGGTAAAACCATTTCAGGGAATATAAGATTTTCACGAGGCTTATATTGAGCCGCCATCCAAGCGTGAATACCTTTATTTAGAAGAGTACTTTTGGTATAGAAAGTCTCAAATTCGGGATCTTTCGCTGTGGAATTTCCTGAGAAACAAAGTCATAGACACGTAGGTTCCGGACTAAACCGACTCCATAAACCAGTTAGTATGAAGAGCAAAATTGGCCACTTCACAAACCTCGGACTACATACAAGGATTAAAATATGGGTAAAACTTACCCGCACCAGATTTATACACCAATTCAATACATGCATGCCATGTGTTTAAATTTATAGTTCATTTTACTTAACCTTAATTAATTAACATGTGTTTTTCTTCATTAAATCATATAATAATAAAAATTGCATTAATTTGGTGTATACACCTGGTGTAGGTAAGTTTTTTCCTTAAAAATATTGATTGAATTTTTTCTCCTTCGTTAAATACTCCATTAAAAAATATTGATTTAACTTTTTCTCCTTCATTAAGACGCTCCACAATAGACAAAAATGTCATTATTATTATTCTCAAATTATTATTTAATTACTTTTATAATATTTAGGACTTTGAAATCAACTAAAATTCTAATTATTAAATTATAGAAAATCCTAAAATAAAATAGTAATATTTTGCCTTATAAAAGTCTTCACTAAAAATATAAGAAATTAATAATACTCGGTGAATTCTAAATAATATTTTTTTCAACTTCTGTTTGTATATGGTGAATTTCAACATCGGGCTTTAACCTAATTTCAAGTCTATCCCTTTCATCAACTAAAGCCTTTTCGGTAGCTAAGAATAGCCTACCAAATTTCAACCTCGATTTCACAGTCCAATACCACATATCAGCTGTAAATACAAACTTATCTACTTTTAAATGACGGATTTCTTCTTATTGACCGGAAGTGGCCTTTTGGTTGACTGAAAGTGGTGAATAAATGATGGCCTTCCTTTGATTGACCGGAAGTGGCCTTTTGATTGACCGAAAGTGGTGAAAGGAGGTGGAGACGGTGAAGGGAGGTGGAATTGCCCTAATATGGAGGATTACTGAACACATTAAGTGATACTTATAACCATGCAAAAATTATCACATAATTCTAGAAATAGCACAAAAATTAATATTAGGAACATATTTATACACAGATGAGTACTAAACCAATATAATATTTTTGTCCAAATTTTTCCTTTCTTATCTTTGCTTTCTCCATTTCGTGTTTATTTTTGCTTCAGTATTAATGTCTCAGGAACAATTTCAGTATTAATGTCTTGGGAATATGTAGAGAGTTATCGTCTGGATTTTGTTTAGTTGTAGTTATAAGATTACTTTCTTAAAAAGTTATAGCATATATTGTATATTGTAAACTTTTTTGTTTATAATAGAGATGATAGTATAACATTTCGAATAATCCTCATATAAATAGTACTTAAATTAATATCCAATATTTTCTAAAGCCCAAATTAGTATCTAGATAAGAGTGACCTATTTCTTAATACATTCTCCCTATTTATTTTTTTTTTTTTTTTTTTTTTACCCTGTTATTTTCTTAAGCGAATATTGAGCCATTCAAGTATTTATCCGAATGATAATTTTATTAATATAAAAAATATAAATATAAATAAGGGAGATTTCTTAAGCGAATATTGAACCATTCAAGTATTTATCCGAATGACAATTTTATTAATATAAAAATATAAATATAAATAAGGGAGATTAGACCTGACCTTACGAATCTTAATGGAGTCAAAAGACTCAAAACCTCTACTACTGCCAACAAAATTCATGTGAACTTATGTGTAGAAAATTTTTCCGGTGGGAGATGCGAAGTATGACTTGGTATGTGAGGGATTATTTTTGAATAAAAAAATGTGTAGCTCTCTCTCTTCTATTCGAAATAACCTCCTATTTTTGGAATATTCCTGGGGCAAGAAGGTTTCTAACCTGTAAACCACTAGCTACGCACCCATTGATCCCACCTTTTCTATTCAATATTGTTGTTTCTCTCTCGTGTCTTAATTTTATGAATCTCAATAAAAAACTATGGGTCCTATACTTTTCGTAAGAAAGGGGTTGTGAAAATGCTTTCCACACTAGTGTTATGGGTTTGAACCCCACTATATCAACAAAAGTTTAAGAGCATGTTTTGTAATATTTTTCTCTTCTATCCTAAAATTTAGAACCCCACACTCCTAATCTTGAATCCACCTTTATTTCCACATAAAACTACATTTGTTTACTAAATGCAAAAATAATTCAATCTATTTTTTATTCCATTAATAGAAATAATCTATTTATTTCCAAATTTAACTAAATGGATCATCTATTTTTTACTCCATTAATAGAAATAATGTATATATTTCCAAATTTAACTAAATGGATCATCAAGATACACATAGAAGCGTGAGTTGCGGCAGTCTATTGACATGTTTGTTGTTAATATATCTATGTAACCATTTACGTGTGAGACTATTGAAGGAACATCATTTTCTTCCATACAAAATGTTGAGGAAATTCCCACTTTTGATTACTCAAATTGTAAAAAAAAATAATCAACTTTCTCCAAAAGAAAGGGAAATTATTATAATTTATTTTTTATAGATTAAAGATATGTCAGGCAATGAGCAAAATCAAGACATTCTTCAACAACAACTCAAAGGAAAGAAACTTTCTGGCAAAACGTTAAAACGACATGACTCTTTAGAGTTGGAATCTAGCAAGGTCCCCGTGGCTAAAAAGGTAATAACTTAGCCCATTATCAGAATTATATATTCTATTTTTACGTCTTTGAACCAAACTAATCCGGATTTATACCTGAAAGTTTCATATTGACGGATTAAACACTGTCAATATTTATGACTTCATTTTCGGGTACTTACACCCCACCACAACCTCTAGTAATAAAAATTTTATGTTGTTTTGATATTGATGATGAAATGAAATAAGTCCGTGAAAAACCGCTCCATTCAAAAAATATTTCCCGCTCTGAAAATAACGGTCATTTGTGACCTTTTGGGGGCCAACTGAACCCCACCCGTCTCTACTTACTTCTTTGAAACATCAAATCCGGTCAGACAATGTAGTGCATATGGCAAGCACGGATAGTGCTATCCATGCTTGTCATATGAAGATGGCGACTACAATGGGAGATGAAGGCCACTTGGCTTGTAGCGTTTGTGGGATTTGAGGTTTTGTGGTTTCACTCGCACACCCCAGTACTGCTGCTTCCATCAGTCTGCCTGTGAAACTACTACGGGGTGATGGCGGATGAGTGCAAATTAATTTTAGTTGGAAAATTCATTTACGAAAGACCTGGTATTAAAGAAATCATATCGAATTTTATGGAGCAGACTCCATCACAGGGCAAGGTCAATATTGGGGCTTTCGACTACAAGCACGTATTTATTGATTTTACTTACGTAGTTGATTTTAATTTCTGTCTATTTCAAGAGATTTATGGGTATTTTTGGATCGATTATGTGAATGTTTAAGCAACACAAATGAGAAAACATTTGCCACCCATGTGGGTTCTTCTCTTTGAACTCAAATTCCATCTCTTTAATTGGCAATATCTCAAACAAATTGGATGTATCTACCATTGGAAAATCCAGACTCAATATGGATAAATTAAGGGTAGAAGTCGATTTGTCTAAACGTTTGCTGAAATCTGTATGGGTTGGGTTGGGTTGGAATTAAGGTTTTGGACCTGGTTTTAAAGGGTATGAACGAAAGTTCAAGTATGAGGGGTCCCGGCTTTTTTGCAAGACTTGCAAGCTATACAAGCAGTGGCGGAGCCAGGACATGCAAGCATTGGCTTATTCAAGGTGTTTGAAACCCATTAAAGGCATCTGAAATCACTGGGCTACAACAATATGTTATGTCAAAGGTGTTCAAAATATGTTATTTAATCACTTCGTGTATCATTTCACTTGTATATACAGTATTTTTTTCCGACAAAGAATTGGACACCATGACTTGCATGTGCCTCCGCCCCTGGCTACAAGAGCATGCCACTATATGATCCAATAAAGATGTCATTGACAACCAGAGACGAACACACATGTATAGGTGAGGTGCACATGCAATCGTTAACTTCGGAAAAAATCATGTGTATATATATCTTGAAAAACTGATAGAAATTGAAGTATAAGTAAAAGTGCACCCATAAAGGGCATAGAAGTGTGCTTGGTCCGCTGGTATAAGCTCCGCGACCTGGGATCAAAGATAAGGCCCTTGGCACAATTCACATTGAGGAGGAGAAAGAACTTTCTTGCAATATTCAAGAGGTAGAGAATATAGTCAACACCATGTTGAAAAATTATATGCACAGCGGAAACATACTAGAATCTTACGGCTTACATGAATAATAGATAATCAATATTGTTTATGCTAAAACACATAATCATGTTAGAACACATAAACTTGCTGAAATTTTATTCGATAAATACCTCTTGAAGCGTGAGCAGATACCTCCAAGCGAATCTCCAAGATAGACGGACCTTCAAGCAAATCTACGAGATAGACAATAGTTATGGTCTTCTACAGTGATCCCAAGTTTACATCCGAACTCTCTCAATACTTGGGTGAGCAAGTATTGAATAGAAAACTAATCAATCTTTTTCTAGGTTAGGAAAATCTCTATTTATAGAGATTTCTTCCCCAATCCAAAAAGGAGAAGAAAATCCAGTTTTCTTGAAAAACAAGAAAACACACACGTACTCATTTTTCCCCTAAGAAATAGGATTTTGAGTTCTAGTTAAATATGAGCACTGGAGGGACCACAAAATTAATTACTGAGGTTTCCTATTATGGAATTAATTCCAAATAATTAATTTGAATTATTCTTACCATAATAAATTACAAATCATTTCATAGAAATTCGTAATTGCACTCTTCTATTTATATTTCGTAATTCCCCATTAAACATTTATGTAATTCCTCATGTTAAGATTTCAGATACTAATCAATAAATTAAATTACTGACGAATTTAACTTAATGATTAATTTTCTTTAGAGCACTACTTAACTTATTTCATGTGTCGGATTCATAAATCCACTTGCAAAGTTTGACACGATGAAAACTTATAAGTTTCTCAAAAAGGCCTATCAATCAATCTCTATAACGAGACATGGATTCCATCAACTAACTTATTATTTCACCAATATATATTGTCATCATCCAACTTACCAGACATATTAACCCATCTCAGAATCTCACATTTTAATAAATCAAAACGATAATTAATATATATAGATCATAATAGTTATATCAGGATTAACAATATAAGTACATTTAATAGTTTAGAGAATATGTTTTGTCAGTCAGTCTAAAACAACTATCTCTACTCGGTCTCGTTCAATACATACAAAATGCACTAGCACAAGAAGTTGGAACTATACCGTTCCCATAATCAAGATAAATTACTTATAATCTTGTGCTACAATCGTACCGATGACATGTCCAATTTCCATCCTAGATTGTGAACAAAAAACTTTATACTTATAAGAACCGATGATTTAATTTTTTGTGCATAAGCTAGAACTCTACATACTAAATCATCTACTATATAAGTAAACATACACCATAAACGAATATATGGTCTATTAAAATTGAGCAAATATTTATTCTATAATAACTATTATTTCTTAACACATGGTTAATAGTATATATCCCAACAATCTCTCACTTAGACTTTTAACCATCACAATTGTTATAATGTACTATACAACGAAGAAATGAAAAAGCTCGAAGAATAGCGTCCAACAAACTGGCCACGGCTAACACAGCTTGTAGGGATTTCAAGGGAGTTGAATTGGTTCTGGATTTGGGAACTCTACTACTTATTATGCAGGTGAAACATGGTCCTGAATCCTGATTTAGGCTAACAAAATATTGATGAATCAGTAACAAGAATTTGGGATAACGATTAATGAGGGTGAACATCTAGAAGATTCAAGTGATACGAGATTTTATCGATTAAGTTCATTATATGGAATATTAGGGGGATGGGATGGAAAGGACTTTTAGAAAGACTAATTCAACTACTCGAACTTCATAACATTGAGTTTGTGGCTCTCGAGGAACCATTTTTGGACAACTCTTATAATTGATACTTTCAAAAGAATTCATGGATATGAACATGTAGTTTCTAACTCACGCAACAAGATTTGATGTTTTTGGAGAGACAACATGGAGTGCGACATAATATCTACGAGCAGGCAACAAACTACTATAAAATGTCATCATCTTCTCAGCAATGATCATGTTCCCTCAAACTTGATCCAAGTCAACTTGCATGGCTTATACTCTGACTTTGAAGATAGCCTGGAATATGAGGTGTTACAATATCTTCCCCTTAGGATCATTCGTCCTCGAATAATGGTCATGGATAGGAAGGAATAGAAATGGAGATTTGATAATGACTTTTACCCATAATTCCCAATTCTACACTAACAATTTCGTGAAGTCCAAATTGTTCTCATTGGCATCAACTGGTGTTGTGATCAAAATTTTCAAGGCCTTGAGGTGAAAATGATCAAACCAACTTGGAAACATGAAAACATGATATGTAGCATCGAAAACAGAGAAACGTGATCATTGTCAACCATTGCTTCAGAGAAGAAATTAAATGAAGTAGCGGATGCTCTTGCTGAATATGACACTAACATTCACGGACAAAAAATGTTTTTTCAGAGAAAGAGGTCTCCCAACGGAGGAAAGACACCCCGTAAAGATGAACTAACTTCAACTTCCAAACTTTAGGAGGAAGAAAGAAACATACTTGATGGAACTATGATCTTCCCATAAGTTTTAGCATATTATAGGATATTAGATTTAGCTGATCCAATATCCTCCTTTCATGTACTTAGTACAGTTCTTAGCTTAGGCTTTTGCCAACATCTGTACTCGACACCGCCTTTTTTGCCACTTTGATCTCCTTTTGTTGTCCCCGTGATCTTAATTATTCTTTTGCCAAATAATATACAAGGTAGGGGTCGATGTCAAACCTCCCACCATCATGGAAAGCGAATGCTTGGGTGGATGAATTTCTATTTTTGAAAAATTGACGATATACAATTAATTTACTTTTTCTTTTGACCAGGCATTAGAGTGGTCAGTGATACTGAAATTGGCGTTTCAGAGCATAGGGGTGGTGTATGGAGATATTGGAACGTCACCATTGTTCGTGTTTGCAACCGTTTTCCCAAATGGTGTAAAATTGGAAGAAGATATACTTGGAGCATTATCCCTTATCTTTTACACTATCACCTTGATCCCTCTCATCAAATATGTCTTCATTGTTCTTCGAGCTAATGACAACGGAGATGGTAACTTTATTTAGGGAAAATGATAAAAATGTCTTTTATCTTCGATAGAATATTTAAAGTAGTCCTTTTAAAATATAGTAATTTTTATTGCAGGAGGTACATTTGCTTTATATTCATTGATATGTCGTTATTCTAAGGTGGGATTAATTCCGAGTCAACAACCTGAAGACAAAGATGTGTCGACTTTTAAACTTGATTTGCCAGATAGACGTACACGTCGAGCTTCAAAGCTTAAGTCAAAGCTAGAAAGCAGCAATTTTGCAAAGTTCTTTATGCTAATTGCCACAATGCTTGGTACTTCCATGGTTATTGGGGATGGCATCCTCACTCCCTGCATTGCAGGCACGTCGCCTAGCTTAATTCGAGAAAATATCCACTTATTTTGAAACGAAGGGAGTATGATACTAATTTGATTTTTTTCATTTAATTTGGTCAGTTTTGTCTGCTGTTGGAGGACTCAAAGCAGCAGCTCCCTCCGTCTTGACCGAAGGTAAATTCTTGCATTTTATTTTGTTTTTCTTAAATTTTCATGTTGCTTTTCCACAGGAAGTAACATGCCTAAAATGTTGGATGCAGAAAGACTTATTTGGATTGCAGTAGCCATCTTGATATTGTTGTTTATGTTTCAAAGATTTGGAACTGAAAATGTTGGCAACACTTTTGCGTCTGTACTTAGTTTGTGGTTCATTTTCATTGCTGGTATTGGCATTTACAACATTGTGAAGTACGATCCAACTATTATAAGAGCTCTTAATCCTAAATACATCATAGATTACTTCAAGAGAAACAAAAAGAATGCTTGGATTTCTCTTGGAGGCGTAGTTATGTCCATAACAGGTATTCATTTCCTTACAACAACTTTTAAATGTACCGAGAAACTTATAATTACTAGGGGTAAAATAATTGAATAATTAATTGCAGGAGGCGAAGCACTATTTGCAGATGTTGGTCATTTTAGTGTTCTATCTATACAGATAAGTATGTGTTGTGTGACTTACCCAGCCCTCATATTAGCGTATCTCGATGATGTTGCTGATACTTTCTACAAGTCCATACCTCGTAAGTAAAACATTTGTTCCCGAGTTCAAGTTCTATGCAATGATGATTTAAAAATTATATTCAAATCTCTATAATCTGTATTTAGTAACTTCTCTATAATACCTCGTAAGAGAAGGTTGTTAAGATCTCTTAGAATGCTCATTAGGTGTAAATGATGCTTTGTCTGTGGTAATTTTTCGCGGTTTAACAAAAAACTCATGCTATGTTTTCTCCTTGACAAGTGCAGATAGTTTATATTGGCCAGTATTTAGCGTGGCAGTGTTGGCTGCCATCATTGCAAGTCAAGCCTTGATTTCGGGAACTTTCTCTATAATCCAGCAATCTCTGGCGTTAGGATGCTTTCCTCGTGTTAAAGTTGTGCATACATCAACCAAACATCACGGACAAGTCTACATTCCTGAAATCAATAACCTTCTCATGTTGTCTTGTGTCATTGTCACTCTTACATTCAGGACTACTGAAAAGATTAGCAACGCGTATGGTAAGGCTTTCCAAGAGTTCTCTCTCTTCTCATATATATATAAAGTTGATATTCTTACATGTATGTGTATATAACTTGAATCTTTTTTAGTGTCAATGTGAAGCAGATGTCTAACACGCGACAAAATCATTTGCTTACAGGAATAGCTGTGGTGTTTGTGATGGTACTAACATCGTGCTTCCTCGTGCTCGTTATGATCATGATTTGGAAAACTAACATTCTTTTTGTAATCATCTATGTTCTAATCATTGGCACGGTTGAACTCATCTACCTAAGCTCAGTTCTTTACAAGTTCGATCAAGGTGGTTTCCTTCCACTGGCTTTCTCTATGTTCCTAATGTTTATCATGTACGTATGGAACTATGTGTATCGAAAGAAGTACCATTTCGAGCTAGAACACAAGATCTCTCCCTTGAAAGTTAAAGAAGCAGTGGATGAAACAAATTATCATCGCCTACCTGGCCTTGCAATTTTCTATTCTGAACTTGTCCATGGAATTCCACCAATCTTCAAGCATTACGTGGAGAATGTGCCCGCGTTACACTCTGTCCTCGTGTTTGTTTCTGTTAAATCACTTCCTATAAGCAAAGTTCCTGTAGAAGAACGGTTCCTCTTCCGGAGAGTGAAGCCATGTGATCTCTACGTGTTTCGATGTGTGGTGAGATATGGATACAATGATGTGCACAACGAGGAAGAGTCGTTCGAGAGATTATTGGCTGAGAGGCTGAAGGAATATATACGATACAATTCCATGCTTTCGATGAATGCAGCAAAGAGTAACAGAGTATCAACAGAACAAGGTAGCAACATGGAATTGGAGATTGATTGTGATATACAAGAAGACGTTACGTTTTCGAGGGAGAGAGATATAGAAGTGGTGGAGAGAGCTTATAGTGTTGGGGTTGTTCATTTTGTAGGTGAACAAGATGTGATTGCAGGCAAAGGGTCTGGTATTGCAAAGAGAGTTGTGATAAATTATGTTTATAATTTCTTGAAGAGAAATTTGAGGCAAAGTAGCAAAGTATTTGACATACCACACAAACGTATGTTAAAAGTAGGAATGATATATGAGCTTTAGCAATAGTAGTTACTTTGTTCGAATTCTCTAAAAATATTATCGCATTTGTGTTGTGTTCTCCAAAACTACATTAGTTTTGAAGGACGGTCACGCGCCTATTAACATTTTTAAAGAGTTCCAGCAACCTAGACTTATTAAGTAATATATAGCTTTTTAGCTAGCAAGAAACAGAACATTTTGTTCTAATTTGTACACTGTCTTTAAACATTTGTCACATTTTATATGACAGATTATCTCTTCAACAAAATTTTCTTGCTGTGAAATCTTTCTCATGAATATATACACATAAGCAATTTTAGAATACTGAATTTGCGGTCCTGGATTCTTTGTTTATTGAAGTCAACATCAGTAATCATCATGACCTCAAGTTCATAAATGATGTTTTCACAAATGGATTCTTTTAAATTCTTTGAGATTTTATTTCTGAACAATTTTTCGGTGTCGACTCACTTTAAATTAATAAATATTAATTTATCGATTAAATAATACCTCTACAAAATAATAATATTTCATGGTTATGCCTATATTAATTTAGAGAGGTTTTATTGTAGCACATTATTCTTTTGTATATTTTGAAGTCACACACCATTATTCTTGGACACCCTTGATAAAATTTCTGATTCCGCCACTATGAATATCAAATTGTTTTATTTTAATAGTCACACACCATTATTCTTGAACACCCTTAATAAAATTTCTGATTTCGCCACTACGAATAATTAAGCGATAATTTTTTTCATACGATACATGTTTGTCAAGCAATCAAAATCAATAAGGAAGATAGGCACCGACCCGTTATATAGAATATAGGTTGGTCAAAGTCCATTAATGTCTAGCACCAACGAGGTCCATGCATTGACCATGAATAATATACATGTGAATAAAAATTAAATTCAAAAATAATATTTTTTAAAAAAAAGAATTGTAAGGTTTACTAGTGTATCTAAAATATCATTTCTTTCCATATGTCACCATATATATAGTGTTTATATCAATAACAGGGTCACACACAAATGATATATAGTCGTACAAGTAATAAAGTGATTTAAAAATAGAGTGTCGAACCCATAAGGTTTTGTTTAAATTCTACCATGCATACAAGTTCTTTAATTAGTCATGATAAGAAAAATACACGGACAAATTAACCTATGGAAATTAAAAACTTATCCCCGCTCCGTATTTATACCTAACTTTAGGTATAATTTAACCTTATGGTTAAATGATATATAAAGCGTATCTTGAGATCATTGATTTGATGCTAATACCATATCCCAGGAAGTTTTTTCCATTGTTGATAAATGATGAGTATCCATCAAACATCCCATATGGGCTTTTCCATACCCGAATTATTATTAATATTTTGTTGATGATGAAACAAAGAAGTAGTTTGCAACCTCTGTTGATTTATAGCTGCTTCGAATCTTCGTTGTTCCTGCAAATTACTAATTGGTGTCCTTGAAGCTCCTCCAATACCTAAAAAATCAACTGTCAACATGTCATTTGATCCGTTTTGCACCAACATAGTCTGGTTCCTAACTCCGTCATTTGTACTATGATTATGATTATCACGTTCAAGTACTTCTGTAACGTTTTTGATGTATCCAACATCGTTGTTTTGATCATTACTCATTAGTATCCCGCTATAAATTCCCATGTCATTCATCACTGCTGCTAAATTCGACTGATGATTCTGATTCTGATTCTGATGATTGTTGTTGTCTTGTTGCATTTGGAAATTCTCATAATTAGGTGATGGTCTTGTTATGGTAATATCAGGACCAGCCATAGCACTTGTTACAAAACTCTTTTGCATCATTGGGGAATTTATGCTACTACTAGCCGTGGCCCCCATTTGGGCCGCTTTTTGCAGAAGCGCGGTAGCTGACATTGGAACTGATGATAATTGGCCTTGCCCTTGAGCCACCCCATTTTTACCGTTATCTTGTAGATAATTGAAATTCGATGGGATATTCGAGCTAAGTTGAAGTCCGGAAGATGATGAAGCTACACTTCTTGGACTATTACCAAATAGGTTACCTGTGTTGAAAATATAATTAAATAAATAAAAAATAACGTTCTGACTAGTTAAGATTTTGAATGAGACAGTCAGATAGTTCAATTACCTGAAGTGGTCGAGAACATGCCACCTGGAGCCATATTATTGGTCATGGACTTGAATGGAATGGGGAGAAGTTCTTGAGGGAGTGATTTTAGTGAATTTTTGGGATCAAAGTTATTGAATTCAGATAAACCTAAAGAGGCATTGGATGACATGAGTTCATGCATTTGGCCACTATGCATATTGTGTTCCATATTGTTGTTCATTAAACCTTGGTTCACTTTGTTGTTTTCTTCAGCCAATGCATCACAAAAAGCTCTATGTGTGATAAAGCTGTCCCTCCTGCATGCACATCAATTTTCATATGAGAATTCGTAAAATAATAGTATTATACATTGTCATTTTAATTTAATATGTTATGTTAAATTGTTTGTCTTATATTTCAGGTAACTAGGTCCCACTTATGCCCTACAATAAACAAATTAAAGAAACAACTATCATAAAGTGATATAATAGTATAAAAAATCTTTTCCATTATTGAACTTTCAAATCTAATGCTTTTGAAATTATTATATAAGATCTTGAGATCATTAAGCAATTCTTTTTTGAATATAATATATATACATGAATAAATGTATTCTTCTTTATATGATATAACTTGAATTTCAAGAGTCAAACTCTTTTATTTTGCATGCGTACAATCTTTTATAATTTTTAAAAAATGATTAAAAGAATTATGAGGGGAAAAAAACTAACCTAGAGAAAATGGTACCACAGTCACATTTGTATTCTCTTGTTCCACAAGTCTTTTGGTGAGCCTTCCAATCAGATTGCACAGCATATTTTTTTGAACATTTATCACATTTCCATTTTTTTTCTCCATGTTTACGACTATAATGTTTTTTAATACCCGTAAGATCACCTAATGCACGAGCACGATTGTGGTGCACGCAAGTTGGCTCTGGACATATATAAACGCGCTTTCTAACTTCTGTTGTTGTTCTTTGCCTTAGCTTCCAAGGCAGATTGTGTCCCCTCCTATGTAACTGCAAATTTTGGTCCCTTTGAAATCCCTTGTTGCAAATCTCACACACGAATCGATTCGTTGCCATGAGGGTGGTTGGTGATAGGGCAACGACTTCTGCATTGGGATCTACACCAATTTCAAGAAGAGAATCAATCGATCAATCAAACACGCGATAAATAAAAAATTTTGAACAACAAACTATTAGGGATTCACTATCAAAAAGTACTAGACTTGAGGAAGTTTGAATAGCAAAACAACCAGCTTAGATATTCACTATCAAGAAGTTCTAAATCAGCAATTCTTGAATAGTTAATGACCAGTTCAGATATTCACGATCAAAAAGTATTACGTAGATTCTAGAAACTTCAAACATCAAATAATTGGTTAAGATATTCACAATCAAAAAGTATTACATAGATTCTAGAAACTTCAAACAACTAGCTTAGATATTCACGATCAAAAAATTCTAAATTCAACAATTCTTGAACAACAAATGATCAGTTCAGATATTCACGATCACAAAGTTTAAGATTCTACAAACTTCGAACATTAAACCAATAGCTTAGATATTTAAGATTAAAAAGTTCTAAATTAAACAACTTTTTTAATATCAAATGACCAATTCAAATATACACGACCAAATAATATTAGATTCTAGTAACTTCAAACATCAAACAACTAGCTTAGATATTCACGATAATAAAATACTGAATTCTAAAATTTCTAAACGGAAAACAATCAATTCAAATATTCACGAACACTCCATGTGGAGTAAATTTCTCGAGTGATTAGAAGTCATGTACTATTCATAGACATAAAAGTGGTGTGTGGGTCACGAAAAAGGAAAAATGAAAAAAGTGTATTTCATCACAATTGCAAGCAATTATTGACCCTTTTGAAAAGGTTAAAGTCAAAGATTCCACCATCATAGAACATAAAACATGCTAAATTTTCCATTGTAGTAATAAACATGTGACGTTTCTACTTATACGAGTAGGAGTCGCCTGGGGTTCGTTCCTTAGCTCTAAAAGTCGAAAAGTGCATAATGAGATCGTTTAAGGGTTTATTAACGACTTTAATTCGTGTCGAGCCCGCCACAGCTGCCGTCACCCCGCTGTAGCGGCCCCACCAAAGCGGCAAAAAGCGGCGCCAATGTGGATTTCGCAAGACAGAGAGCTAATTCAAGAATTTCAAAATTATCATTTCACAACATACCTCTAACCAACGACGCTCAAAAAATACCCCTTACGCCAAGATCGATTTCGAGAGTTCTACTCACCCAAATTCAATTCCGTAAAGTCGTACGGACTCTTTAACGAGTTATCTAACCACTCATGTAATCAAAATCACAAATACTTCACCCGATTGTTACCAGACTTCCCTACACCTCAAAGACTCTGATTTCGTCCAAATTTGGATAAGGTTGGGAAAATCCAAATATTATGAAAAAGTTTTTCTGACCCCAATTTTCCTCCGTTGGCTTTTCTATAACGACATAAATAGGTCGTTACAATGTATCCTTTATAACCTCCTACCTAAATTATATCCTCATAAACATAATTTTTTTATAAAGAAATAAAATTACTTTTTCGCCCTTGATTACGACTCTTCTATAAAATAGAAATACGTTCACATTAGATCAAATAAAACCAATGATACAATTAAGTATGTAATAAGCTAAAGCAATAATATCATCAAGAATCAAAACACACTTCATGTTAAATTAAACACACAACTATTCAAATTGAACTATATAATTAAGCTAGAGCAATAATATGATCACTAGTACAATTTCCGATTTTAACATATGATATCGTCATGAATTGTTTAAGTAATATACATCATCAATATAAATATTTTTTACACCATCAGATCATCTTTATATTTAGTAACGTATGACTTTTTTTTCAAGATTT